TCCATCTATCCATCTTTCTGCCTCTTTCTCTGTCTGTCTGTCTGTTCATCTGTCTGTCTCTGCCTGTCTGTTTCTATCTATCTGTCTGTCTGTCTATCTATCTATCTATCTATCTATCTGTCTGTCTGTCTGTCCGTCCATCTGTGGCTTTCACAGAACTCCCAAAAACTCCCAAAAAATTATTCTCCTTTAATTTCTACCAACCCCACGATGTATTGAAATATTGAGATATATTGGAAAAAAAAGGGTCAACTGTATCCGTCTGTCTGTTTGTCTGTCTGCATCTATCTATCTCATTTCATTTCTTTTGACTCCATGATATATTGAACTGAAACCTCATGATGCAGAAGGGTCAACTCTATCTATATATGTCTGTCTATCACTCTAGTCTCTCTCCCACCATATAATCTCACTGTTACCCCATGGTCTGCCTCCTCTTTCTGTCCTCGCTGCCAACCCCCCCGCCATAGCACATCTGAGCGTCCATCATTAATGACGCTCTTACTCAAAAACGCTTCAGTCTGCAAGGGTACAGAAACCCCTTTTAAAGGATTCGCTCCATAAATAATCCAGATTAGTAATCCAATTAGCACAACATCCACTCTTATTGCTTTAATTGATTTTATTTACGATTTTTTTAGGACTGTGCAGCTGAGAAAATGGACGCTGTGTTGGTTTTGGATTCAGGGAAGGAATTTCAGTAGCCAGCTTTTTCAAAGGGGTCTTTGTGTAGAAACCCAATTAGGTTAAAATAAAGTCATAATGATTGTGTTACTAACAGCAGGGCTGTTTCCACACCGGCGATTCTGGGCACGCCAGGAAAGTCGGATCGCTGCCGTTCGGCTTCTGTGTGTCCAGGACGCCTGACCGCACGGGAACCCACGCGGTGAGGTCAATGCCGTAACGAGCCTAGCTCTCCTGGGCACCCCAGAACATTCTGTTCCTTGTGCGTAATGTGGCCTAGGTCACCCATCATGCCAGAGCATCAGCCGGCCCGAAACGCCCCGCAAAGCCTTTCCTGTTTTCCTCTGGACGTCCAGCTTTCCGTTAGCGATAATGGGAACATGAGGGCAGCTGAGCAGCAGAGGAAGTCCCTGGCGTGCGGGGGCAGGGGGCAGATGCTGGGGGCAGGGGCTCTCCTGAAGGTGCTGCTGTACAGAGAAAAGCGATCTTCCTCCAGCTGACGGAGGTGAGCTGCCTTTCTTCTGCTTGGCTTGGAAACCAATTATAGAGATAGAATCTGCGAGGACCTGGAACCCAGAGAGGGGACACTGGGGAGGCGACACAGTGACAGTGCAATGACAGAACCATCAGGGCTCCCCATGCAGCCCCTCCGGATGGAACCCCAGCTTCACAAGGTCTCAATTAAAGCCACGTCAGAGCTCTTCAGTGCTTGCGCTCTGCTGCGCCTCTCCAGGTCCTTCAGAGCTGGGGGGCCTGAGACAGATTGGCGCTGAGCCAAACTCGATCTGCGCTGACTCGTCTTCGCTCATATCGAGGGCCATTAGTAACAGTTTAACTACAAGACGATGTCATTAAAACCATAAAATCACAGAAATAACGACCTTATGGGATGATGGACGAGAGACCCTCGACATTCATCTTCCACGACTAATGTGTCAGACGGGAGCAATCAATCCGTCATGGGATTAAGATGAAATATTCCCCCGTTCTCCGACTCCCTGAGCTACTGGGATCATTTGTGTAGACTGACTAGCGAGTGTCACCTTAAATAGCCCTGAAGTCATCTCATAAATGTTCTCCGCACTCTGAAAACAGCACTAGGCAAATGTAACTATCGATTTGTTGCCCTGAAAGGCAGGTTGAAGGAAAGATGCAAACGTATCGATTTCTTTTTCCTAACAGTTGTTACTGTAGGCTGATGAGACCTCTCGGCACTAGATGAACTGTCTGTTACTTTCCCTCGCGGGTTGTACTCCTGCTCACTCTGGCAGTAAGCTGTCAGAGCTGTAAAATGGGAAAGTTTGAGATAGCAGCAAGAGTAGGTGTCTGTTGAGCAGCCAATGAGGCGTAACCAGAGGAAGCCGTTTTCTTAGAATGAACCTGCATGAAGGAGTTTAGTGGGACCTGTAGAAACCACAAGGCTCTCTGCGAAGTGTTCTCTTGGCTTCGTTTAAAAAAAACCTTCCCATAATGCATCTCTCTCTCTCTTTTAGTTTGCTTTGTTGACATAGTGCAAACTGAGAGCTCCAGACATAACGCAGGGCCAATGACTAATTTGCAGAACAAAGCGTCTTCTGATTTTCGCATTTGATCCCAAAAAGTCTAAGCGATCCTCCTACAAAGAGCCCCGCTACCGCTGTCCTCCTCCAGGTCCACCTCGCCGAGCCATGCGGACGCGGCCACAACGTGCTCGTTGTTCTGGTGACAATGAGCAACTTGCATGTACTCCCCCTGCCCCCCCCCCTTTAATGTCAGTGAGATCTCACATGCAGAAAGACGCCACTGTGCCACCATCATGCCCCCCTCCCCCACACTCCAGTTCTGAGTCTGGCACGCGTGGCTTTATCTGATAGGCCTTTAACCCCCCTGACTTTTTATGTGAGAAGGTATTGATTGGGCGAAATCCCATCGGCCTGCGTCAGAGCCGCCAGTTAACTTTCAGAAACGCTGGGTCAACAAAGGAATGTACCCAGCCGGAGGGGGCATGTGTCCATCCCGCTGGGATCAGCCTAAACGCAGCCCTGACCCCCCAGTGTAATCCGAGGAGCTGAAAGAGATCGCTTTAAAAGATCAATGCAGTGCCCCCCCCCTTCGACCTCTGGCTGCCGGGGGGGGGCTTTTCTTCTCTTGTCTGGTCGCCGCTGGGGGGTGTTTGTGGCAAGTGAGGGCAAACCTGCCAACACAGATACTCGGCTAGCTGCAGCGGACAGGTGGGGGGGGGGTCCTCAGTCCTCAGCTCCCGGCAAACACTTGGATAACTGCACAGGGTGTTAGGTCAGCATGCCCGGCCCAGTTCTGGGTTTGGGTTTAGGCAGCAACAACTCCAAGATACATCTTAGGATTTTACACGTCAGTGTCCGAAAGGCGTCCGCGGACGAGGCCTGTGAAGCTGTTATCCTGCTTTCAGCTACTTGTAGACACAGAATACAAGCCTGAAATGAAAATGCTATGAAAAGCAGCCCTCTGACTGTCTGCCCTTAGCCTTCTGCTGACTAGGCGTAATTCTACTCCCAGTATCAGGTGGAGGATTCTGTCAGGCATGGTGACTGTAGAGGTGACTCCATGGCGGGTCCTTGAGGAGGTGGGGTTGTGTATCTTCGCCGTGGCAGAATGTGCCTTCGCTCAATGCTGATCAGCCCTGGGGAGACTCTGCCCACTCACACTAAAGCCAAAATCATATTCTCAGGTTCTCTTTAGAGAATAATAACTGGATCTTTCCAGAAATATGGATTTCCGTGCGAATGCCTTGACCATTCATTAATCCTTTCATTTTCCCGATTTCTGTATAACGCCAAGGGTCGTGCAGAAAACACCATCCTGAGATATGGTCCTGCTGGCTTCCATGTCTATCCAGCAGGCTTGCATGCTCGAATCCCGCACCCAGTGTTCCTGCTCTTGGTGTTTCGGTATAATCTTTGGCCTGGCAGGGATTCCACGGAGCAGAGTGACCATGGAGGCATGATGATGTAATCACTCTGATTACAGCTGGCTGTTTTCCCCTGTCTCTGCCTTTTTGCATCTTGCCTTAGGCCAGTGATTTTCCGGCGAATGGGGTGACGGTTGATGGCTCATCCTGTCTCATTCCCAGTGCCACGGAAAAGCACATGTTCCTATAATTATAGGGATGGCTGTTGGGTGTCATCCTGTCTCAAGCCCATGTTTGTCTCTGTGGTTTGAGACCTGGCTTTGTATGATGGACTCAGTTACACCACTGTTTCACTGTGGTCGTCATTCTCCACTGAGGGCTCCAGATTTGGTTTTCATGCGTCTGTTCTCTGTCAGTGTGTGTGATCACGTCATAGTTACCCTTGTTTGCAGAGTGATTGTCTGTAATGCAGCTGGCTGTGCACAAAGGTTTGTAAGATTCCTGTGGGATGGAGCATAGGGTACAGCCCCTAACTATCGGGTGGAGCGTAGGTCACTGCCTCTAACCGCAGGGTGGAGCGTAAGTCACTGCCTCTAACTGCAAGGTGGAGCGTAGGTCACTGCCTCTAACCGCAGGGTGGAGCGTAGGTCACTGCCTCTAACTGCAGGGTGGAGCGTAGGTCACTGCCCCTAACTACGAGGTAGAGTGTGGATTACGACCCCAAAACGTGGGGTAGAGCTTAGGTTACTGCCCCTGACCGCGGGGTGGAGTGTAGATTACTGCCCCTGACCACAGGGTGGGACATAGGTTACTGCCCCTGACCGCGGGGTGGAGTGTAATTTCCTGCCCCTGACCACAGGGTGGACCGTAGGTTATCGTTCGTCAGAATAGAGGATCAGTTTCAAACCCACGACAGCTGCATGTCAACATGTGGACCGATATGTCAGTCTATCAGGGGAGGGCTTGGCACAGTTGCTGGCTCTGTGGCACGTGGGCACGTAATATTCT